AGGGACAGCACAGGAGGGGAAGGCCCTCTAATGAGGTGGATTGATTCAGTGACTGGGGTAATCGGGATGGGTGTGTCAGAGACAGTGCGATCGGCACAGGACAGAGCAGAGTTTAGGGCTGTTGTACATAGGGTCGCTCTGTGTTGCAAGCGACTTGACAGCACATAACAACAACAACAACAACAACAACAACAACTAATAAATGTTTGCTAAAAGAATGTATGAATAAACAGGCAGTCATAGCATTTAGCTGTTTACACATTCCTCACACTTGGAACTATATATTTAAGATTGTTTTACCTTACTATTTCACATATACAAGCTATTAATTTTCTCATAACAAACGTCTGCTTTAAGCCTATCTAGCTTTCTTGTTCCCACCACAAACTCGTTTAAGGGTTAATGATTACTTTAGGTCATTTTAACGACTATTTAGTGTGTGAGGGTAGAAGAGTTAGGAATTGAAAATATCTTCCTGTTCTTTTTCCAATACGAAAGGATAAAGCAAGTGTAGGAATTCTCATTATCAAGCATACTCCTGACTTCAGCGTAATGGGTTATATATTGGTCTGCTAGGAGAAAGGTGGCCAGTTATAACTTATCAGCTATTCCATGGGAGAATAATGAAGTAGTTGGCTTCTGCTAAAATTTTAAATCTTAATTTGGAAGCCTGATGGAGGGACACTGTGAGGTGGATTCAAATTCATGGAAATGGATTTGGTTTTTGGACAGTTTTTTCATTGACTATGTAAAGGCATTTGACTGTGTGGATCACAACAAATTGTGGCTCACCTTGAGGAAGATGGGAATCCCAGAACACTTGACTGTATTCAACTTCTTAGAGCCTGAGTTTAGCAATATGTAAAATGCAATGCAGATAATGATAGTGCCTGCTTTATAGATTGGCCTGAGAGTTAGAATAAGTTTGAATGACACGAAACAGACTTTTTAACTTGTCTTGTTCACCTGCAGGTACTCAAGAAATGTTAACAATTAATATTAGGTACTATAATAAATCCTATGGGCCTCTGCCCATTAGTGGCATTTGTGTCATGGAAAGACGTTGAATAAGTTAACCAAACACACAGCTGTAGTAGTAGACCAAATTCTGAAGCAGACAATCGAAGTCCAATGCCCTTGCTTTAAATAACTTATCTAGTAGGTTCAAATCCTGGAATTATCAGTGTATATTAATAGAATATTGTAAAAAAACAAAAAAGTACCTTTCTATATTTATAGTTGTTCTATGTCAGACCGACCCGTAGCTGAACTTCCAGAGGCAGTAAATGGCACTGAAGGAGAATGCCCATCCTTCCCCTGCGGAGCAGCTGGTGGATTCGAACTGTATGTCTTTGCAATTATAGTACAGCTTATATATTGTTGTTGTTGAGTAATGTAGATTTGGAACTCACCTATAGCCGACCCTCTGGCAGGTTTCCAGAGACAGTTAATCATATGGTAGTAAACTGCCTATCTTTCTCCTGCAGAGCGATGACTGCCTCGAATTGTGTGCTTTCAGGATTGCAGCTTCTTACCACTAGGCCACCTGAGCTCCCTGCTTATATATTAGCACATGGAAATTCTAAAATGCTTAGTAGAGTATCTGAACAGAGCACACACACACACACACACACACACACGGGGATATTAAATGATAACTACAGTTTTAGTAATTGTTGTAGGCAGTACTAATACCAAAAAAGTACCCAGGCTTAGGCACCAAAGAGACGTGGATGTGAACCCTTGTTCTGCTACTTACTAGCTGCTTTTTTTTCCCTGAAAATGTAGCTACTGCTGATTGAGTAGTAGTAGAACACACTTTCTTTCTCCAGTATAGCCCTGATAATGCCCCAGTTAATCACTCAAGTGCTAACCAAAAGGTTCACACCCACACCGTGTCTCTGTGGGATGAAGACCTGGGAATGTGCTTCCATAAAAATTTCAGCAAGGAGAACCGTGTGCAGAAGTTGGACTTTGTCACACAGGCTCACTATGAGGCAGAATGGATCCGCAAGTAACGGACAGAGGAGATGGAATCTAAGCTTTTTAAAAAGAAGTTGAAGGTGATCCACTGCTAAGTTATTATTACCACTGAACCACTGAAGTTAATTTTAAAAAGACATGTCTCTTACTCAATTTGCCTTGCTCTTTTTTCTTCTCAGGTACTTCTGGAATACCCATATTTCTTTAACACAATTTATTCTTTCTTTAGGAAAGCCTTGAAAGTTTTACAAGTGAAATAACGATAGTGAATAAACCTTTCACAACTACTTTTCTTGCTCATTCAGGAAGGGAAAGGCATGCAGTATATTTGTTCTTATTAGGCAATCTACATTTATATCAGTGTATTCTAGCTGATAACATAATTCTGCAAAATGGATTCCAAGGAGGCTGAGGAATGCAAAGTTTGCATTTAAAAGCATACCTATTTGAGTATGGTATGGCACAAATGACAGTATCAAAAGTCAAATTATTTTTAAAAATTATTATGCTGCGCTCCTTTCCTCTTTTTTATTTATAACTATCAATTATCCTTATCAGTGGAGGAAGAAAATTGGCACAGATAACTGAGAAGACTGGATAATAACCAACTCCCTGCTTATTATACTTAATTCTGTAATGTGTTATGGCTGCTGAGTGCCAAAACAAACAGTTTAAATATAAACAACTTAATTGAGCTACTTATTTGGAATTAAAGAGATTTTTTTAAAAGAATACAAATTGTTTAAAACATGTCATTAAATTGACTATACTTATAAGGTCTGCATTATTAGTCATCTTAGATTATTCTTTTTTAATTTGTAACTGTTTTAGATATTGCATTAATTTGGATCCCTGATCATCCTTACGCTGAATGGAGAAGAAAAAGCAATATATCTGCTGGCAAGGATAAGTGGCTAAAAATTGGTGGGGCAAAAGCAACGACGACAAAACAGGCGGGAACCAGGTTAGGAATGTGAGTTAGTGGGCACAGAATCTCCACTTTTAAAGAATATCCTCTCTCAGTTTCTATCCCACATTCCTTACCTTCTGCTTGATGATCATCTCATTGATGTCTTCGACATCACCCACCATCACTCTCTGCGATTTTAGAACTCGGTCAAGCAGAGAAAGCCAGTCGGTCAGTTCTGTCCAAGCCCGATTGAAATCTGCCAGAGCAGGCACTTCCAACAGCAAAGATGATGGCATCTCTAGTTTGGAGATAGAAGCTTCCTTGGTAACCACAGGTTGTGTCACCAGAGTAACAGTCTGACTTGGAGCTAAAATACATTGTTTAAAAAAAAAAAGGAGGGGGTAAAAAAAAAAGAGAGAAATTAGAAATACAAGTGAAGGAACCAATTTCAATAACAATAAATCAGCTTTAATTGAAAGGCAATACTTGCAGCCAAAGTTATTATTTATGACAGCATATGATTTTTCTTACAATGTAGATACTTTAAATAGTAATATATGACAGGGAAATTCAAAGACGAAAAATTTTCCTTCTTACAAATGTAATCCTCTTTCAAAAGGATTTTGCTTATTTTCATGTCTAAATAATGAAATCTAATAGTCCTTCTCAATAGCAATTATATAGATTGTGGAATTGGTAAGGGAATAAAAGTAATTAGACCTTTCCAGGTAAATAATTTTTACTTTTAAAAAAATTTCCCATTCAAGAGAACAAAAGCAAAGGGAAAGATTAGGTAGGATCTTATTCTGAGGTATGATTTCCTTGAATAGCAAGTAAATGAATTTGAAAGTGGACCCTAGGGAAGTCAAAGCCAATGCCAATGAATGTCTTAGATGTGGCATTTTATAATGGTAGTAGCTTATCACATTATTTTTTCTCTCTTTTCTTTCCAACTGGTAATTAAGTGGCTGGCAGTGAAGAAAAACCAAGCTACATTATTTTTGGAAAATGAAAGTGAAAGCTAGTAACATTTTTCTATTTGGCCATGGCATACTGTTTCAGGGTCATTAAGAAATACTCAATGAATATTCAGTGGATATTAAGAGGGTCGAACACAGTACGGAAGAAATCACATGTAAATGATTCACTTTTTAAGTCTAGAAGTACAAATACAAAGAACAGAATTCCTCTCTTTGCCTTAAGTTTCTCAATTTCTCTCAACATTAGTTTTTTTTTCTTCTCCTCATTAAGGTAAAAAGTAAAGGTCATGGAGAAAGTTGTGTAGATTAAATGACCAAACATATACACAGAACTATGTCAGAAACATCATCATTATCATCATCTTATCATGATCCTATTATTCTTCCTTCTCCTCTTCCTCCTATTAGCACAGTTCTTAACACTAACGGATAATCAAAGAGGGCAGAAAAAATGCCAAATATCCTCAGGACCATAGTGTCTGGGAACATCAAGATCAATCTATATAACACAGTCCACAAAGAAAATTATCTCTCTATATCCTACTTTGATAAATAGTGACTGGATTCTTAAAAGCTTGGAATCAGCCATCTAAGGTGCTTCTTGTCTGGAGCAAAGAAGAGTGAGGAAAAGCAAAGCTCCATGGAAACAATTAATCCAAAGGATTAAGGTACCATGAGAACTTAAACCTTTAAGATCTTGAGACCAGAAGAGCTTAAACGGTACCCAGCTACTATTTCTGATCACACTAAAAGATCACAATAGAAGATCCTGTTCAGAGTAGGAGAAAGATGTGGAACAAATCTCAAGATCATAAAATTGGTGAGGCTTGTTGAGATGATAGACTCTTAGTCATTCTTTGAGCCGAGAATGAAACTCACTCCTGTGGCTCAACTTTCATCCAAACAATAGACAGGTCGACAAAGTGAACAATTACACAAGGAAGGTGCTTACTTCTTAGAAAAATCAACCATATAAGATCAATAGTTGAGCATTTATCTAAAGATAAAACTCAGAAGGCATGAAGAGATTATGAAATTTAATGAGACAGACTGGAAGCAGGAAGAACATGGCGATAACCTGGTATTGAAATTAGCATCAAAAAGGAAATGTGTATGTATAGTTGAGTGGGACACCAATTTTCTCTTTCATAAAAACTTCCATTTAAATCATGATTTGCTTTAAAAATACCTAATCGATTTTATGTGTAATGGTTACAGAAGCCTAACATATTTAGGATATCAGTGACAAACCAATATTTGACTATGTAGTTTAAAAGGTGGAAACTTTCAACGAATGCTGCACAAGACCTCTCAGTAGGAGATCCCAGAAGCAAAGACAATAATGGTACTGTTTCAGAACAGGAGGAAAACTGGACTTTGGACTCCCCTTCTGAAGGAGCCACAAATGATTTTTCATGATGATATTACTTTTCCTACTTTCAGCATTATCTTCCTATTAGAGAATAACATGAAGGATATGGAAGGATGTCTCTCTTAATCTTGTAAAAAAGTTATTATTTATTTATGTCACCATACACTTTTTTATAATTATTCATTTAGGTGGTTTCATTGCTGTACATTTCATTTTGTACAATGCTTTTCTGCACATTGTGTTTTCTATAATTAACATTGATTAGTTACTTTCATCTCCCCATCTCCTCAAGTCTCCACTGCATTTTACCAATTTATTCGCCCCCTCCCCCGCCCCCCAGTAATCTCTGCTGTCCAAGTGATTTCCTCCTCCTTCTTCTACTGTTTCTCCCATTTCCTGTTTAAACCATTTCTCAATCTCAAGAGACAATAAGAGGAAGAAAACAAAGAGAAAAGGTTTCTTTATATGGCGGATACAAGGTTGAACAGGCAGAAAGGGGGGCGAGTGTTTGAGAGATCACATACAATCAAAACTAATGTCAAGAAGTAAGACAGAAGCTAAAGAACACATTTTCTTGCTAGAATTGATCTCCCCAGTCTGATGTTCTTTCTAAAAAAGAATAAACCATAGAACCATAAATAGCGTTCGATGAGTCCTAGTTCTGTTGGCGGAATCAGGAGAGTCAACAAGATCCAGAAATCTTAAAAGGGATTCTAGGAGATGAACTGAATCCTAGAGGGAGGATTCTTGGACAAGGAAGGAAAGAGCTAGATTAAAATATCACTGTAGAAGCTGACTGCAGAAGAAGTGGCTACCTGGCCGGGGGGTGGGGGGATGACAAATTTTTCTTCAAAAGATGTTCTAAGGCTACAGCCATTTGGGAGAACATCCAGATTAGGGGAAGTCTCAGAAAACATTTGGTTTTGAACTTGACTTATTGAAAATCTGACCCTCAAAAGGCAACAGGAATACAGAGCCTCTCTCTCACCTTCTGGATTTGCTTCTGATTAACAAATGGAAACTGTGTCCTGTAGCCAAGTTGACTTGTACCCTGTTAACATCCCTAATAAGCCTCAGAATCATGAGTACGTTTCTGTAAAGTCAGTGTAGCTTTCACAATGGATTTCTGTAATGTCATCTTGAATTCCCTAATAGCGAAGGATGCAAAGACACACCAGACTTCAGCGAGCAAGCCACTTGTATTTTCTGGAAAGCACATTTTGGAAGGGGAAAACCTATGGAGAAGAAAGATGCAAACCCAGAGCCAGAGACTCAGAAGGGAAGAATGATCCCAGATAGCAGGTAAGTGCACAGATATTGGTGTAATAGAACCACAAAATTCTCTACTGAGAAGAAAACATAGCCCCATAAAATGCAATTCAAGCAGATTCACAGAGGCATAAGCATCAAGCCGAGCAGCATTATATACTGTAAAGATCAGTTCATTTCTGAATTCCTCGACTCCAGCATTTACATCTGAGAAAATCTCCCTGCCAGTGGATAAGGGAGAGAAAAACAAGCCTTTCTTGCTCACTGCTTTATTATCTACACCTTGCACAAGTCCTCAACTATAGGAGGTAATCAATTGATGTCACTGAAACAAAAACCATAAAATTGCAAACAAATAACCTGCATAGTAATTGTTTTAGTAAACTTAGAGTCATTAAGCCTATGACAAGTGTTCAAAATTCACACTACCCTACCAATCTTGGATCCTCATACATGTTCTACAATAATGGTCTTATACAGTATTTGTCCTTATGGTACTGAGTTACTTCACTTAGCATAATACTCTCCAGTTCCTCTCAAGCTAGGTAGTGATTTACAAAATCATTGCTCCTGTGTGATGCATAGTATTCCCATAATTTCTCAACCCATTCCATTGTGGTTGGACATCTGGGCTGTTTCTGTCTTTGCCATGGTGAATAATGCTGCTATGAACACTGGAGTACAAGTCTCCGTTTATGCCATACTTCTCATTCTCTCAGGGTATCTTCCAAGCAGTGGAATAACTGAGTCATATGGAATTTCTATGTTCAGCTTTTTGAGAAAACGTCAAACTGACTTCCAGAGTGGTTGTATCATTTTACAATCCGACCAACAACATATAAGGGTTCCTATCTCACCACATCCTCTCCAACATTTATTACTTGCTATCTGTTACTTTGCCACTGCTACTGGAGTGAGATGGTATCTCATCGTGGTCTTGATGTGCATCTCTCTTATTTCCAGTGATTTCAAGCATTTCTTTGGGGGTGAGGATGGGCAGGGGTGGTAGTGGTTAATCATAAGGTTGCTCAATTTGATGGGTGGAGGGAGGGGTAGGTAAGGGAAATGGCAAAGATCAGTGTGAAAAATAATGTATATAACTTTGTAAGTAAACCAGTACAAAATAAAAATTTATTTTAAATAAAAACAAATTTACATGAATCTGTAATTAAGGAGCTCTGGTGGTATAGCCACAACAAGTTGTACTGCTAACACAGAGGCCAACTCCTCTCTAGCAGTTTACATCCTCAGGAGAAAGATGGACAATCTCTGGTCATTCAGTTTATAGACTTGGAAACCCAACTGAGGGTAGCAAGGTGAGGCAATGAGACTGAGAAGTTAAAAATATGTTTTTTATATGCTAGAATATACAACATTACTAGTTTCTATGCAATTTAGATTATTTTAGCATTTTTTAAATTGAGATTTTAATGAAAGTTTATAAAAAAACTTGGATTTCCATTCATTCATTGTTACACATTTTCTTCCACGGCCCCTCAACCCCCCTCCTGCAGTTTGCTTTTTTCTTCAGGGAAAAAAGTTCTTTCATTGTTATACAGGTGCCCCCAAACCACTTTATTATGCAGTTCTTATGCTGGACTCTTGTCATGCCAATAATACCTAGTCATATGTTCTTTAAAACAGTTCTCTCCCTCATCTGTTTCAATGCCATATACATTATATATCTCCTCTCCCCAATCCCCATGTCATTCCTGTTTTATAACAGTGGTATTATGCAGTATTTGT